AAGTCAACACATTGTCCAGTCAAATCTCACAAGCATAGTTGTCAAATCAAGAATATCATTGTGAATGGAAAGAATTGAATGGAATCATTTAATTTAAAACCTTAAACACTTCAAAAGTTGTGTATGCTTTTAGTTCAAAACAAGTTAAAAAATAATAATTGTAGAACCATTAGGTCTGATTGACCTGATCCATTAAGCCAAATTTATTTCACTAACATAGCTATAGATAATTCATGGGTTGAAGTTACTTTACCTTTAGCATTTTTAGAAGACTTATCGCAACAGTTCCGCCCCCTTTTTTTAGCTTTTTCTCTCTCCTCTTTAAGTTAAGAACTTGTTGGGTGATTTGACTGTATCCTATTAAAATTTCTTTGATGACCACAATAACGACAAATCATGTTTAAGTATTGGTTATTTTCGTACTAAACCCTTTTTGAAATAGTATTATGTCATTTTCACTAAAAAAGAAAAAAAAAAATATATATATATATATATAGAGAGAGAGAGAGAGAGATAGAGATAGGACACTATAGTTTTTAGAATTGTATAAATCGTGAAAAGTGCATCGAGTAATTGATGGTGACTTGTGTGATTCACTATAGAATCTTATATCAAAATAGATTCACTCATAAATTCGTATCGATCTAAGATAAATTGTGAATCGTAAAATTTTAATAACAAAGCTCACAAGTAAATTGCGCACATGATGTGTGCAACTGCAAATCAACAGCTGCCTGGGTGGCAGCAATATATGCTGGAGTTTTACAAGACTATCAATAAATGACATATTTTAGGTCACAACATAGTTTCCACGGAGACACTTAAAATGTTAAAATGTAGCATCCATTTCCAACCTTAACGCTGACATTGAACTCACATGAGGTATTCTGATCGTATTCTGCAGGTGTTTAATGAAATAAGCTCCAGAGAGATGGAGAAAATAGATGTTTTCAAAGGCATACTTGACAACTATGTTTTTGTGGTGGTTCTCAGTTGTACGGCCTTTTTCCAGATCATAATCATTGAGTACCTTGGTGCATTTGCAAACACAACACCCCTCACTTGCGCGCAATGGTTCCTCAGCATATTTATCGGATTCTTAGGCATGCCAATTGCAGCGGGCTTAAAGATGATCCCTGTGGACACGTAACTCAGAAAATGCTGATTTTGGAATTAAAAGCACAATCCTCTGCCTGGTAAAATAGCTCTAACTTCCCTATTCTGAAGCGAAAGATGTTATTGAACATGAAGGATGATGTGCCATTACCTTGTTTGACTAGAAGACTTGAAATGAAAATTTGGAATCTTATTACCACCATTTTTGGTTTGCTTTGTAACATTCGAAATTCCCTTTTTATTTTCTTAAGTTTTCTTATCAACCAGGCAGAGCATAACCAAAACTGGGGCTGGGGATCTCCATGCTAAGCTGCAAAATGTTATCATTTTTATAAGCATTTTTTAAATTAAACTCAGGAGGGTGAGGGCAGGGTTGCTCTCTCTCTCTCTCTCTCTCTCTGAATTTCAACTTTGTTCTTAACTCTATTTGCTTACTGACATGTAATTGTTTTGTAAAACAATGACAAGTAGCTTTTTTATGTACAGTTTTTGTAATTTTGCAATTCTGTCTTGAAATGTGGTATTTCTATTAGGGTGCAGAGACAAAATTTTATGTCTGTTAATATATAGTGATAGTGCGAATTGTTGCTAGACCCCATTGCTGATTCTCAGGAAAGAAAAAGAAAAGGAAAATGAAAGTTGTTTTCTTTTTCTGTGTGTTCAGTTGAAGGAAAATGCATGTCGTACCGTACTGTTTCTGTGGAGGAAAAATTTTCCTTCAAATCTTTTCCTATAAAAAGTAGAATGATGCATTGCGTGAAAGTTTAAATTGTTATTGTTCTTAAAAAAAAATTTCCCCGTCTTTTAATTTTTTTATTTCATAAAACATTTTCCTGTACAGTCTTGGAGACAAATGAACAGAGCCATAAGTCATGACACCTGGTAGAGTGCTGGAGACGAACTTTTGTCAGATTTGTTGTGTCTTTTATTCATTTGTTTTATTTTCTCTTTGATATTTATTTTGTATGATCATTGTATATAAAATACCATTTGAAATTTGTGATATTGTTTTGATACTAAATTTGTCAAATGAAAATAAAATGAAAGGGAAAATTCATACATTTTTTGTGTATGAACTATTGTTCAAGTAACAGATTCTCAATAAACTATTGCTCAAGCAACCATTGTCGATCAATTAGATAGGTTGTCAATAAATCATTGTCAGAGAAATCGGAGGGTGACGAGATTATCCAAATTAGGTTTAGCGGAAGCATTATATGGGATTGTGATTGAGTAGGAGGGTCTATGGTAAGCAATTACTTTTATATACATACATAAATGGTCTGATTTAATTCTAAATTGAAATTGACACTATAAAATTGTGGATCAAATCATAAAGTACAATCTACCAATTTTAGGAATTGGTACCAAACAGTTTTATCAATAAAAGCCAAATACGATTTGGTTTGGACTGAATAGGTTCGGACTGAATAGGTTCGTAAATTTTTTTCCCAGTTTTTTTTGCTCATAAGCATAACAATGATACCATGTGTTAATATCATATATCAATGAAAAATTTCACAATGCGATATTGAAGATTACATAATTGGGTCCATGGGGTAAGTTCTTTGATGGATTCAAGTTACCACTATCAGTTAAAGATAGTACTATGTTGTCTAAAAAATAAAAGACAAAGTAATCATATGTCTAAATTATTTGTTATTTGTTTAAAACATAAGAGAGAAAATGATAATGCATTACTATCTAGAGTGCTATAAGTCGGACTTACCAGATAGTTCTTGTGAGAATCACTTTGATATAACGTTGGCTCAAGCACTCAGTTATAAATAATAAAAAAATCTCTATAAAGAGCATCAAACATGGACTTACTGTATAGTTTCTATAACAGTCACTATAAAGAGCATCAAACAAAGCAATGTTAGGCAACAATATTGTATACCAACAATCCCTTTCTCACAACAATGCTCTTAAGACTAGAGTGTATGACAATTTAACTTCGATACTACTTGTCAGATTGAGTTCCACCATATTTTCTAAAACCAATTGGTATTAAGAAAATTTTTATTTATATTGCTTATAACATTCGACATCACATTTCCTCGGTTTATTTTTAGAATAACCGTATAAAGTAACCATTATGTACCCAACAAATCCTAACATCTCTACATTCAAAAAAATATATATATATAAATAAATAATAAGTCCCAAAATCTCTATTAGGATGAGATAAAATTGTCCACCCATTTCCACCCAATTTTGTTTGTGAATTTTTTGTACTATTGCAATCAATATTTGGTGGTGTTCATGGCGCGTAGTCAAGACTCCTTACCTTGGTTTTATAAGTAACTTAGCGCGATCATCCCTTCAAATTCAAGCTTTGTCAGAAGACCAGAAACAAGCTCGTCGTTGATTTTATAGTAGAGAATCTGATACCCACAAAAAGGAGCTTCTTAGCCCCACTCACTCTTTGGTATGCCCCTCTAATTTCCTTCCCATTCTATTCTATTCTTTTCTTTTCTTTTCTTTTTCAACCTTCGTACCCAACCTATGACCTCTACTTTAAAGACCCATTAGTACACGCCTTTGTACCATTTTCATTTTAGGCACTCAATCACCAATGAAATCTCTACAAATCATACACGATCTCTTCTGATTGCACTACCTTTTGTTTTTGTTTTTGTTTTCTTTTTTTTTTTTTCTGATTGCACTACCAATGGTTAGTGTTTTCGGAAAAGTACTTTCACAGTGACATTTAAGTTTTGTTTGTCGTCCTTTAAAAAAAAATTAAAAAGTCATTATTTTATTTAAATTTTATCATCTTATTTAAATCATATTATCTCTTTAAAATATCACTTCAAACTTAATCTATACTCAACTCATATTTCATAAAGAGTAAAAAAATACATTTATTTAAATCATCCTAAACCACCCCTTAATCAGTGTTCATCACTCTGCATACATGATTTTATCAGTGTTTGGTTTCAACCTTCGTACCCAACCTATGACCTCTACTTTAAAGACCCATTAGTACACGCCTTTGTACCATTTTCATTTTAGGCACTCAATCACCAATGAAATCTCTACGAATCATACACGATCTCTTCTGATTGCACTACCTTTTGTTTTTGTTTTTGTTTTTTTTTTTTTTTTTCTGATTGCACTACCAATGGTTAGTGTTTTGGGAAAAGTACTTTCACAGTGACATTTAAGTTTTGTTTGTGGTCCTTTAAAAAAAAATTAAGCCTCCGTTTGGGAAGTGGGTTAGCTTTTTGACTTTTTGATTTTTTTAACTATTTTAGCCTGAGCTTAAAAGTTTGGTTTGGGAAAGACTTTTTGGCTTTTTGACTTTTTTGAGTTTTTTTGTGAGAGAAGAATGTAATGATTATGGGTTGGATGTGATGTTTTGTTTGTTATGGCTAAAATAGCCTATTTTGTTTTTTGTGGCTAAAATAGCCAAAAAAACCTGCAAACCTACTTGCTAAACACAGGCTAAAAAGTCATTATTTTATTTAAGTTATATTATTTTATTTAAATCACATCATTTCTCTAAAATATCACTTCAAACCTAATTTATATTCAACTCATATTTCATAAAGAATAAAAAAATACACTTATTTAAATCATCCTAAACCATCCCTTAATCAGTGTTCATCACTCTACATACATGATTTTATCAGTGTTTGGTTTTAATTTTTTTAAAAATTAAAATTTTTATTTCTCGTATATCTTTGTTTTTAATGAATATTTTTAAAGTTTAAGAGATTTTTTTTTTTTACTCTTTTTGATATACCTCACTTAAATATACTTAAAAAGTAAAATATTTGTAAAAGGTAATAAATAGATAAGAATACAAAAAAATATACTAAATTTTCATATATATATATATATTTTATATTTTTGATATTTAATGAATTTTTTTTAAAAAAAAAAATCACAAACATTATACCTTTTAATTATATTTATGTTAAATATATCTAAAAATTAAAAAAATAACTTAAAATATTAAAAAAAATTCAATAAAAACAAAAAAACATGAAAAATAAAAAATTTCAATTTCCTGAAAAATGAATCTTAAAAATCTAAACCAAACAAACTGGAATAATTCCCAACAACAATCTAAAATGTAAACACCAAGATGTGTCCCATGATGATAACATTTTGCTAATTATCAATAAAAATATCATTAAAAAGGAAGACTTAGGTATTGTATGGCATCAAAACACTATTTCTCCTGAAGACGTATTTAAATGGAAAAAAAAAAAATCAACTATACTAATTTCAGTTGAACTGCTAAAAAAGAGTAAAAAGAAGTGTCTTTTCTTGATTCAGCAATCGGTGCTGGCTTTACTGACTGGTTTCGAATGTTGATTGCCTTTGGTGTCGCTTTCATGTGATTGGCCGGAACTATGCAGAGCATCTTGTTCTTGTTCATGTTTTTATTTGACGTGCAGCTCTCGATTCTTCTATTATTCTACATACTTTTCTTCATTTGGAAGAAGCTCTACTCTTCAAAGTGAGTGATCCTTGTGTGTCTAGTATGTATGGAACACACTTAACTCGACATTGAGAAGCTCCTCTAGTAACCTGATGGTTCTACCAAACCAACATCCGCAGCAGAAGCCACATTGAACTGGCAGTCAACTAATGCCCTTGCCCAGAACAAAATTCTTCAACAAATTGAAGCGATTTGCTGTTCCTTATAATCCTATTCCTTCAACATGCTGTAAATACAAGAATGTAAAATACCCATAAGATTTCTTCGATCAAAAAAGTCCTAAAATAGTTTCGAGTGCTTCATACTAGCATATCCTTATGGTGATGAGCTTTCCTCATCCGAACTAGTATCGTGTCTCACATTGTATCTGTTAAGAATGGGTAACGATGCATTTGCGGGAATACGGAAGGATCTAGCAGATCCGACCATCGTATTATCCTGCAACCTCCCTACTTCTTTGCACACATTATCCAATATCGAGAGAAAGTCTCTCACAATCATGAAGATCCGGAGAGGATGTGCCTCTTCTTTAGCAGCGTTGCCATGAAAGTACTCGGTCACCTCTTTCACTAACGATAATGCCATTCTTTCATCCACTTTAATCCCAGTGATTTCGTCGTCAGCCTCTTTGAGAAATGTTTTCATTGATTCGAAGAATTTCCCTTGCATATTTGGTTTCTCGTATTGCAAAACCAGTCTTACTTTCTCAAGCCCTGTTTCAAGCTTCGACACGTAGCTGTTCAAGACATCTGAGTCCATCCCTGCTGCTTTTTTAACATTTCCAAGTTCTCTGCTTAAACCGGCAACAACTTGCAATCCTTGGTTCTTGAAATCCTCCTCCTTCAATTTAGAGTTCATTTTATTTGGGAGACTTTCAGTCGTAGGATCAGAACCTGTACCTTCCGATCTGATAATCTCCTGGACCACAAAGTGTAGTAAAGTAGTTTTCCCATCTGTCCCCTTAATATCTACTAATTTTAACAGTGTTTCGAGTTTAAAAGCTATAGCATCGCCACGGTTGGTTCCAACATTCATTCTGTTTCCTGTCCTGAGAACAGCTTCAAGGATTTTGAGGAATAACCGGCTGTTCTTCAATTCCTCACTTGCTACCTGCAAATTTCAAAAGCTACATCTTAAGGGAAAATTCCTTTGAGCATAACAGAATCAAGGTTATTTGAATATTAAGATTCATGATTTGATTCATATTATCCGATACGAGTTTCAATCAAAATGATTCGAAAATTGCTGTCACGTCTTAAATTGAGTAAACCGTGAGATTCAATTGCAATTTATTACAAGTCATTGCGATTCAGTTTTGTTTGCATAACACATGAAACGTCATTTTCGCAAAATAAAGAAAGAGACCAATTAATTATATTGTTAAATGTGGTTTTATATGTCTATGCATATCTATAATTTAGTTATATTGATATTTATTTCGCTTTAAATACTATGGGTGTATTATTATGCGTGTAGATATATATAATTATATATTAAGCTAAGTAAAGTGAATCTTAGGATTTACTATTTTAGTAAAACGATTCACGATTTGACAACAATGATTAATAGAATATCACGTTTAGCAGCTTTTGTTGCTTTAAGTTTGTAGGGAGAAAACATAAACAACAAATATTAAGCAGCAAATTCAAGAGGTTTGAATAACTGAGAGTTCAAGAAATCGAGGCAAATATACCTCCAGGGTTTGAAAAGACTTCCTCAAGTACTTCACTTCTGTGTCAAAGTTTGCTCTGTATAGCATGGCTTCAACTCTTTTAAAGGCAAACGGAATATCAAGTAGAGTCTTTAGAAATCTCTCTGCAGACCCTAATTTTGAGATGTCGCCTTTGTAGCCCTTCAATTTTATCTCTTCTTCTTTGGTTGGAGCCATTTTCACCAAGGTTTCCAAAAGATCACTGCCCAAGCCTTCTGGATTTCCTGTTGCACAACATATATACGGGCATATGATGAAGCAAATCTTCAGATGCAAGATGCATAATTAAGGGTCCAGATCATAATTAACATTTCATTGACATATTATTATCCTCCATTAGTTATTTTTTATTCTTATTTACACAATGTATTGAAATTCTATGTATTGACTGGCATTGCATGCATAACCCAGACGATGTGTCCAGATAAAATTAGTAAATGCAACTTCATCATGCCCATTTATTAGCAAAATTGTATGTACGATTAATTTCCTTCAAGCTATATGTGTAAATTTAACAAAAAGGAAAACAAATTAAGATAAAATGAGGAAAAAACATAATATGGAGTTCTATTAAATATATTGTTGATGTTTCCTACTAGATAGAAACATGTCGGGTTTTGTTGTTGCGAAACCATTCAGACTTGGATTTTTATAATTCCAAGCAATTCTGTTGCTACACATATTTGACATAGACTATTCACTGATGAATCCAATAGCTCATTCATGTGAACAACAAATATTTGACATGGAATCTGCCTTTGGCGAAACCCTCAATTATAAATTTACAAATCATATATAGCAGAGAGAAGATCATAAACTATCATGCTGAAGAATAACTATTCAAATATGATAAAATTGGCGTCAAATAACATGTATTGTATGTTTATATAGGGATGACTATTGTTTATGAATTGAATCAATAGTTAGCATTGAACCAGATTAACCCTACGAGTTGATACACAAATACCGGTTTTCAACTATATTTTAGCCGTTGATCATTACATACCATCTAGAAGTGCTTCAGACACCTCATCCCGGGTCACATTCAGCGCTCGCAACAGTATAGCTATGTTCTGTGACTTCTTTGGGTCCAACACTCTGTTCTCATGTTCAACAGGAGGCAGAACCGATTTTCGAGTTACTTCTTTTGGAGCTTTTGGAACTGAATTTGTCGAATTACATCCAAAAAGAGTTTCCATCATATCCTCATTCAATCTACAAACATTCCAAAAAATTGATTTTAACATCACAAACATTCGAAACTATCAATATGTATTGTAACATGTTTTCGAAGTGTATTGTACTTACTGAAAAGAGCTCGATTTCAGCTGATCCCACACCGTTGCTCGATCCGATGTTGCTCGAACTTTGTCCCAATGCAGAGGTTTCAACCTAGGTTTTGATCCATCTGCATCATCTCCATCAGCCCTCTCTGAAGAATCGACACCATTGTTTAATTCTTCAGGTCTTGCTTTCTCAAAATTGGCTTTGGAATTGGGAATTCTTGATTGTAACTGTCTCAATTCTTGGGAAGGTCTAGAAGTGACACTTGCTTCTGACCCTTCTAATTTCCTCGGCGTTGAGATTGGTGGCGGTGGCGGTGGCGGTGGCGGTGGCGGTGGTGGTTGGTTGGTGATTGACTGAATACACGCCGGTGGCGGCGGCGGCGGCGGAATCTGCTTGATTGACGGAATGATGGTGAGTTTGGGATTCGGTGGCGAGAATGAAATCCTTGTTTTGGGCGAAGTTCGCATGGAAAAAGGAACAGAATTAGTGGTGGTGGTGGCTCCACCTTCAGCTTTCCCACGCGCCGCCACCCAGCTCCGCCGTGAACCAGGCGTGGAAGACCCATCATCATTGCTCACCAACGAGCACTGTGGCGTATAAAACTCCGTCTCATGACTCTCCTCATCGGAAGACGACATTGGCGGAGGCGAATTCATGATCGGAAGTGGAGGTTTTGGCAATGGAGGAAGAGGCTGAAGCTCCGGACTCGGTCTATACCGATCCGATCTCTTAGCCGAACCCAATTTCCGGTACGGCGACGACACCAACCCATTTGTCCCCTCTTGGACCGACGATTCGTTCGTCGGCTCCACCGTCCCAACATACAGAAAACTCGACGGTGGTGGTCTCGATTCGTCGTGAAACCTCTGCGAATTCGCTCCAACGAGCTTCTGGGACGCGCCGGAGTGTTTCACTCTGTGCTTGTAGAGATAGAATGCGAGTGCTGATAACATGCCTAGAGTCACAATTCCGACTGAAATTGCGATTGCGACTTTCTTGGCCGGTTTGATTGGCTGTGTGGCAACTGGGTTTGCCACGGCAGCGGTGGTGGTGCCATTGGCCTGTGGTGGTGGTGGTGGTGGCTGAGTCTGATCTGGGTTGGGGACTTCCGGGAAGAATGGCTGGTCGGAATTGGGAGAGGAAGGGGGTGGAGGAGGTGGTGGTGGTTCCGGAGGCGGAGCAGAGGTGGCCGGAAAGAGGGGCTGGTGGAGGAGTCTTCTGGGGATTGTTTGATTAGAGATCAAATCTGGGAAGCTTGTGAGTTGGTGTGGGACTATGAAGGACACAAACAATGATAGAATGAAAAGGTGAGTCACATGATGATGATGATCAGGAGCTCTCATGGCGTTCCTTTCTGGATTTGTTCTGTTTTGTTCTTTTCTTTGATGATCATCACCCAATTCATCTCTCTTTGATGATCTTTTCTTTGTTGTTTTGCGATTTCTCCCAAATTCTCAAATTGGCAAGCTAGAGAGACAGAGACCATGAGAGAGAGAGAGAGAGAGACTGTGTGTGAAAGGAAGCTTCTTTATGCTGCAAGATCTCGATGCCATGGTGGTGGATGACATCAGCTAGCCGTATTTTCTTTTTCAACCATGCTTCTTTTTTTTTTTAATCCTTTCTATCTATATTATAATTTACAAAAAAAAAAAATTAGGGAAACCGCGCTCTAACTTTGAGTATTAAAGAGGTTTAATATGTATTTTTTATTAACTAAGATCTTTTGATAAAATTTATTTATGAAAAAATTTATGTGAAAATTGAAAGTTTAAATATTAATAAATTATGAAAAAAATTATGTGAAATTTTTTGTGTTGGGATGAAATTTTTTTGTGTCAAATTTCTTCTGTAAAAATATTAAGAAACCTCAACTAGTATAAAAATATTGTATGTCATTTATCTTATGAAATTTTAATATCATAAATCTTAAAAAAATCTCGTTATAATTTAATAATATATTTAAATTTTAAAAATAATTTAAAAATAATTAATAGTATTTGTTTCTAAGACTATCTCCAATCCAACACATTTTCTTTCATAAAATTTTTTTTTGTTACTCCAATCATTTCATCAAACCAATATCAAATTCAGGATATGTTACAGTTTTCATCAAATTGAGAATGGCTGTGATTTTCACCAATTTACTATTCAGAACCGTTGGAGTTGTAAATAATACAACACCACTGAACGATCGGCTGGATATCCGACCAATTGTTCTTCCGAACAACCACTTCAGTGAAAAATTACCCACAACATTTTTCATATTTTAGTGACAATTACAGTGAACGATCGACCGGCCCAATATTAGCCCGATTGTTCTCCCAATCAACAAATGATTTGATGACACTCCAATGCGCGCTATCAAATGGAGTTTTTATTCAATTTTTTATTTAAATTAATGAAACAAATGAGTAAACGTTTGAAATGTCCTAATAAAAATTAATTCTCCAATTTCTCCATTAGAAATAGATAAAAATTGCCAATTGGACTAGTGTAATTGGTTCTTTTTTGACAATGTAATAGTAAGTAGTGGTCCAAAAAAAAATTTTGTGGACTGAATCTAGTATGAATGGCTCATCTTATATTAAAGTTCCGTTTGACATTGGTAACGGTAGTCAATTTTTTTGTGTTATGGATTTTTTAACTTAACTTTTTTAGTCTCCTTTGATTTTTTTTTGTTGAATTTTTTTAACTTTTGTGAGAGAAAAATATAATGATTATGGTTTAGATGTGACATTTATTGACTTATATAGCTTATTTTGTCTTTTTATGATTTTTTTAATCTCAAAATATTTATCAAACGAAGACTAAATTGCGATTTGACAAATATTTTTAACAATTTTTTTTAAAAAAACAGGCTAATTGTTTTATTAAAGAAGACAAAATCATAACAAGTAAAAATATGGATAAAATAAAATTAACTAAATTAAAATAATTCTTAAAATTTTATCTTTAAATATGAAATTATAAATTTATATTTATACTACACAGGTTACTTATTTTTCTTACTTATTTTTTTTTAGACTCTTGTTTTTCTTTTTTTTGTTTTATTTGACTTAAATTGTGGGGGACAGGTGCGGAGTGGCAGTAAGTGGTGTTTTGAGTAGTTAATAAAAAGTTAATTTTTTAATTTTTTTGATATTTTTTTTTTGGTAAAAAATTGAGTTCTTTTGAGTAAAAAAAATAATTATTTTGATTAAAAAAATTAAATAGTCAAAAAATTGACTTTTTATCAATGTTACCAAAATGCCCCTAAATATATACTTTTGTGGGTGTTCTTTTTGGATTGGACGATGATGGCCATGTATGTATCCGCTTATGATTTTAATCCAACGTTTCATGCCTTTTTAAAAAGTATTTTAAGAATTAAAAAAAAAAAGAAAAGTGTCTTTTGTTACTTCCGAGGAGATACATTTTAATTTTTGTAATAAAAAATTTACACTTTATAGTGCATGAATATGAAAAATTTTACGAGTTTAATTATTAATATTTATAAAATTTATTATTATTATTTAAAATATAGCTTCTCTAATATAAAATAGAGATGTAATGTAAATCCTAAGGACATTAATTATTAAATTTTTTATCAAATAAATGATCAAATGTTTTATATTAGTGTGTGGTCTATTTTTTTGCGGCAAAAATACTAGAAATTTTAAAAAAAAATTTAAAATTTTTTCCAAATGTCTTACACGAGTGTGGGACCCACATGTAACCCACATTGTGTAAGTCCCACACTCATTTGAGACATTTAGTAAAATTTTTGATAAAATGTTTTAGATCTCTAGCCTTACTTTTTTTTGTGAATCCCATACTTATATGAGACATTTAGTTATTTATTTAGTAAAAAATTTAGGACCTATATTATTTTCCTATATAATTTGTCAATGATGCATTAAATATAGTTTCTCATTAGATTCGGTTAAGAATAATGCTATATGTAACAGTTAACGTACTAACTAATATACCAACAGATGATGTGACATAATTTTAAAAGTTTTGAGTATTTGTAATTTGTATAATAGGTGAGTCAATAATAATGGTATAACACTAATTGATACACTAATATGTATATTAATTAGTACATATGGTACCACCGATTTGTTAACAAGTATCCTAAGAATATTTGTTAATGATGCGTTTAATATAGTTAACCACATAGAAAAAAGAAAAGACAAAATATATGTGTTGGCTAGAGATTAAACTACCATTTACATTAATTCTTTCTATTTTAAAATTATATACTTTTTGTAATAGATTTTTTTTAAATATTATTTAATCATAAAAGTAAATGAATTTATTTTTAAATAACATTTTGTGTATTTTTTAAAAATTTTAAATGCCTTTTATTTTTAATCATAATTAAATTATATGGTGTAAGGAAAATAAAGGACATATTTTTCATGATTTTTCATAAATTTTTTATATGTCCTTTATTTTTATAATAAATACAGTATAAAAAATTATATGCCCTTTTTTTTTTAATTTATATATGCCACTTATTTTTATAACAAATATAAAAAAATTATATGTCCTTTATTTTTTTAATTTTTAGATTCATTTTCTTACACCATATGATTGCAAATACAGGGAATTTAATTTTTTTAAAATCCACGAAATGTTATTTAAAAATAAATGTATTTATTTTTATGATTAAAAATTCTATTACAAAAAAAATATAATTTCAAAATAAAAGAAATTATTGAAAAGGGTAGTTTAGTCTCTAAAAAAATATTTAATATATCCTTAATAAGTTTTCCTTTTATTAACAAGGGCAAACTTTACTTTACTCTCCTATGGTATAGGCCATGTGCCGAGCAGCCCCCTAACGTTCGAATATCACCACATAACCCCCATGTGATTGATGGAGTGAAGTGCACAGTTAGTTTTTCCTTCTATTCTAATAGGCTGTGCAATACACGCGAGAGCTGTGCAATTGGTCATGAAAAGATGATTTTTCATCCGAATTAAATGACTAAAATGCCCTCATCTTCATCACCTATTTCCAAAGCAGCCTTTCTTCTTTATTTTTCAAAACTCAGATCTAAACATCTCTATCCAGAAGAAGGGGAAAAAAAAAAAGAAGTAAAATTATAAACTCCCACCGGTATCTCCATAATCAAACCACTCCTAGTGAAAGTAAGACTCAGCGTAAAATTTTACAAAAAGAGTTGTTGCCAACGAACCGAACATTCATGATAAAGCCTCTCAAGGGCTTCAACCTGCTCAGGTGTGTAACGGACATATTTCCCATTGTCCACTGTTGTCTTACCATCCTTGCCAGACATTTCCATCATCACTTCAAACTCAAAAAACACTTTCCAAAAACACAAGCACCTTAATCTTCTCTCATTCTTCTTCTTCAGAACAAACCCACAAACTTTAAAACTAGCACAAACCCATCACTGTCTCAGTCAAAGCAAACAAATAAACTCTAAAAAACAAGTATTTGAAGAGAATGTCTCAATAGGTTTTCAGGTCCTTTGGGTTTATAATACTATATTAAATCGATCACGAAATGTAGGACAACTAATTACCCAACTGAAACGTTGCTAATCCTTCGTTTCCCGCAATATGAAACAGCTCTAAACACAAGAAATTTTGAAATCTTTCGTATTCAGCGCTTTTGAAACCAACAGAGACCACCGAAGATCGAAACTTTATCAAGTGTTTCCTCAAAAAACACTAAAAAAAGCATTCGCAATCACAAACTCTGCTCTCAATGTCCCATTCCTCAAAAACCCAGATCACAAACTTCTTGTATTTTTCTCACTGACGATTCGAATCCAAAAAACCCCAAAAAAAACTTTCGAGGAATCAAAGCACGAACTCGTGAAACTGAGGAAAAAGACGCTAAAAAATGAAGATTTATCGTAAGATTGGAGCTATGAGTCTTACGCTAAGAACCCAAATCGAATGAAGCAAACAAACATCGATCTTCATACTCATCCTGAAGATTCCCCTGCTGATAAATCATTTGGTGTTTTGTCATTATCTATCTGATAACTTGGGTGCTGTATAGAGATGGTCTCGCCGTCCATGGTGGCGGTTTTAGTCGTCCACTGTGTTTTTCGTGGGTTTCATCTGTCCATGGTTATGATTTTGCTTGATTTTAGAGAAATGGTAGGGTTGTAATTTTAGAGAGAGAAGGAGGAAGAACATGGCATGTCTTTGCCTCCATTTGGGAAGTAGGTTGACTTTTTGGCTTTTTGATTTTTTTAGCTATTTTAGCCTGGGCAAAAAAACTTGGTTTATGAAGGATTTTTTGGCTTTTTTTACTTTTTTTGTGAGAGAAGAGTGTAATGATTATGGGTTGAATGTGATGTTTTGTTTGTTGTGGCTAAAATAGCCTATTTTATTTGTTGTTTAAATTAATTTGTTAAATCAAAACCCTAATTTCATATATCAAAACCCTAAGTTCTCTCTCTTGTTCTTCTCAAATGTACAACTATTGAAGAAGAAATGTTAAACAAATGTTATATATACAAGGGCAAAATAGTCTTTTTACTTTGGGGGGGGTTATGTGGTGATATTCGAACGTCGGG